ATTAAAAATTATATTTGTCATACTTTTAATTTATATATTTAAGATAAAAATTAGAGGCACACTATATTAATTTTAACATCAAGGTCCATGCAAGGGAAGGAAGTTCGATTCTGCTGGATGGTATTATCAATTCTTTTCTTTCAAAAATAAAATAAATATAATTGTTAGCAAATCATTCAATCAAAGAGGTAACGTCCTAGTGGCAAAAGTCATAGAAAATCTTCTTGAAGTCATGTGTTCAAACCTCCGGGTAGCAAATTTAAGGTAAATCCTCCAAAGGATTTAAACCATCCGGTTGAATGGTTTTTTGGTTTATACTGGTTCAAACGGTTTTATCGGTTTTGAATGGTTCAACCACTCTACCAGTTCTAAATGTTGATCCGAACCATTTTTAATACCGGGTACCGGTCCAACTAGTTCAACCAACCGGTCCGATCCGGTTTTAAAAACGTTGCTTGCACATCTTCCTTCTCCTTGGTATGCCTTATTTGTGGATAATTGTTTTTCTATACATTCAACTCTCTGCCAAACAGGAGCCTTTTCTGGATTCCTTAAAGTATACTGCTGCCGATGTTCGCATTGTGACTTCTGTTTTTCCTTCTTTCAGTTTCACAGAAGAAAAACTATGATAAAAACTAGATAAGAAATCACAGACACACTTGGACCTTATTGTGAAAATATGAATTCGATTTGCATAATTAATGCAGGAACAGTCCCCTGTCATAATTTGATTTTAGTTTAATTTTCTTTTAGTCCATTTATATGTTAATATTCTATCTGCCCTAACCTTTTTGATTCAATTTCGTTTCAGATTGATCAAAAGCTATGTGTTTGTGATATTTGTGGAGCATTTTTGAGTGTTTATGATAGGTACATTTTTTATCTTCTACTTCTTGATAGTAGCCTTTTATCTTCTTTCTAAGGGCTTCAAAAAGTTAGCGTTTGGGGTTTCAAGTGCTTCAGCTTTTGACCCAGCTATTACATCTCCATGTCACCCACAGGCTCTTGGGGCCAGTTTTAGAAGGATAACTTTTGCAGCTACATAATGTATATCTTTTTCTGTTTTTGTACTCGTAGATCATGCAATTGTTAGTTAATAAATATTTGGGAAACTGCATAATCTATAATGCATACTACTGCAATATATATATATATATTAAAAGTTTCTTGGTCAAAGTGATTTGATTTTTCTTGTTCCTTTGAGTGACCGACGTTTAGCAGATCATTTTGGAGGCAAACTTCATTTAGGCTATGTGCAAATCCATGATAAATTAGCAGAACTTTTGGTAAGATGATTTACATGCTTAGTATATGCTGACTGTCTATGGTGGCTCTGCTTTAAGTGTTACGTTAGGCTAGGGATAGTGCCTGGCATCCAAGATGTTGGTTGTATAAATTGCCTGAACAATCCATTTACCATGTCTATTATTATTATTTTTTTAATTAATCACAACTTTTTTTGAATGCTGTTACCTAATGGATTCCAGTAAAATAGCAAATTAATACATCTTTTCCAGATACCCTTAAGTTTGTATTGTGAATATGTTGGTTAGGTGCTGGTATAATGTTTCTCATTCTTCTATACAGATTCTCAGTTAGTATCATCTGTGAGTTTTTCTGACCTCAGAGAAGAATAATATCTCCCTTTTTTCAGTTTCTTTTGATTGTTTGTAGATGCTGGACTTTAAAGCATGGTATTTTCTACCTTGTCTGTGCATATTTGGCTTAAAATGCATCAAATATGAAATGTCTTGGTGCTCAACCAATTTTGATAGATTAGTTTTTTCTGCTGAAAGAATGAAAGAAAATGGAAACATGAAATCAAATAGGAGAGAAGTACATGAAAGGAGTTTGTTGTAAGTAATGTAAGAAAAAAAATGAGCTTTTCATTTGTTTAAAATCTGTGACAATAAATCTGTTGAAGGCCTGGTTTGGTCAGGGTAAGTTGCCTACTAATTATGCCTACTACCATTAGAATTCTTTCCTAATGGTCCTTGTGGCATGTAATATTTAGCTAAATTGAATTGGCATTTAGGTTTTTGAAAGAAACATTCAGTAGTATTTGCTGATTATTGTTTTCTCAGGAAGAGAGAAACAAGAGCCGCAAACTTGACCGGTATGATGACAGGAGGTAATCCTCTCATGGTTTCTTTTCCTTTTTCCTTTGGTAAACCATTGGGTGGTGAGAGGGGGTGTTGTGATATCCTTTTTATTGGTGGTGTATAGATCGAAAGAAAGAAGCAGAGATCATGAGAGAGAATCAAGTTGGGACCGAGACCAAGGGAATAGCCATGACCGAGGGAGGGATTGTGATTGTAGGAGCAGAGATCGTGACAGGTATAGCGATCAAGATTGTGATAGAGATTATGAGTGCTCTTGGACTTATAATTCTAGAAGTCGTCACAGGTCACATTCAAGGTCTAGGGAACGTTCCAGGGATCATGATCGCCACAGGTACTTGTTTAACAATATCCCATGCTTGGACAACATATTATTAGTTTTGTTTTGTGATAATTTTTTAACTTATTAAATGTGTAATATAATATAATATTTGTTTTCTATTGTTGTAAAATGTGCCAACCTGAGTCTTTTACCATTGTTTTCAAATTTAATGCTGAACTCTAGCTAGTGTTTGAGTCCAAGAAGCTTAATATAGAATAAAAGCCAGGGACAGTTGCATCAAATATATTTGAGGATGTGAGCTACAATCCTTTATGATTTTGGCAACGAAGAAACTCTTTTAACCTGAAGTTAAATCCTTCTTTTCTTTCTTCCGTTTTTTATTTTTTTATTTTTTTATTTTTTGAGCTTATATGCTCAATAAGCTAATTATAATTGTTTGTACACAAAATGACCAAATTTGAGAGAAGAAATGTTGAGTTAAAAAGTTTTGATCTTAAGTTTTTATGTTCAACGAACCTGAACATATTGGCTAGTTTTGAACATATTGTTATAAATAAGCATGAGGATAAGAATCTTATCATCTGTAGCATATTTCCCTTATTATTGGAATACAGTATAGAGAAATGGTTGCAAATCTTGAATAGACCCAGAACCAATCACGCTTAAGGCATAGGGGTGTAGCGAACACCTGTACTGTAGATTTTAATGCTGTTTTTTTCACATAAAAAACCCTGGTTTTTTTTTTAATCTCATCTAAATTCTAAAATATCTTTACTGTTTGATTATGATGAGCTGATGAAGGGATAGCATTCCTTTAGTACCTAATTATATTATGACTTGTTAGTTATTGCTTGGATTTGAATCTTGATCTTCACTTCAAAACCAAGTGATGGATATTTGCCTGCCTTATTTTTTTACTCTTTGTTTTGTGCCTAAAGCTTTTAAAGTTTTTTGGGCTGATAAGGATTATTCTTGAACCTTACTCATTGTTTTTAATCAGGCGTGACCGATACTAGATGCATGAATGCTGCAAAGAAGAAAATGAATACGAAACTGTTCTTGCTTAGGTAAGCCGACTTATATAGGGGAGTAGCATTCCTCAGTTAAGTTATTTGACAGTTTGTCATGTGGTTGTATCATGTTTAAGAGGGTATTTGTTGCTCTTTGGTACCTAGAGACTAGGAATTTAATCTTAAACTTATAGTTAAGAGTACAAGTAATTCTATCATCAGATCATATGGCTGACAGTTAAGAGGATATTTGCTACTTGATTTGTGTTTGGCATTCGGTATTATTGTAAATGTAAGTTTGGTCGATTTTACTATTCCAATTTGCATGTTGGGCAATTTTTCAGTCAAGTAGCTAAAAGGAGAAGTAATATAATGAGGTTGAATTTTTTTTTTTCTGCTTTGACGGTTTAATATTAAGTTGGCAAGAAATTTGAGGATGCTGGAAACATGATTCACACAATTATATCTAGATTCGGTGTCATCTAATGGTAATCATGCATGAGTGGGTGTGAATTGATATGCATGAAAGAGTTATGTATGAAAAGAAATTTTTTTTTGTAATTTTCAATCGTTTGCTGTGCAAAAAGCATTAGATCAAATTACATCCAAAAGTTAAATAGGAAACTGCAGGGCGTGGAAGCTCATCCATTGGTACCAAATATCACTTAAAGAGTCATCTACAAGGAAAGGAGTGTGCTTTAAGTATGCAAATGCACATCTCCAATATGCGAAGTGGCTTGTGCAGCCTATCATCACAAAAGAAAAAGGAAACACCTGAGGCACCAAAATTTGTTTTGCAATTGAAAAGCTAAAATATATATTTAAAATTATGGTTTACTTTGTGCAAAAAGAAAAAAAAAAATAGCTAACCCATCAAAATGAACAAACCATATTCTAATACATTAGAACCCAATTGGTAATCACAAGATAACATGTCTTTTGAATACTCTGTTTGCCTTTAAACCATCATAAACAACAGATAATTTAATTTTGGACGCCAAGCAATGTGACATCTTTGCAAAGTTCATATCCAACTGATGACTTCTGAGTGTAGCATTCAGACCTTATAGGAATTAAGAAAGCAACCTCTCAATATATATAGTTCCATATGTCCAAGAAATGTACTTTTATAATTCAAGTTTGTATAAGAAAGCAACATTTATTTTCTTGAAGGTATTCTCTCTTTAATAATATAAAACAACCCATAAAGTTAAGGTCTTTGCATGAATTTAATAATACAAGTTACAAGTTGCACATGAGTTCGAGAAATAGAAAATATCTGTCTTTTTTTTTTTTTTTTCTTTTTTGTGGTAGAAAAAAGGGATCAATATTAGTTAGTGAGGTAACATTCTGGCCACCAAGCAATGTGACAACTTCACATCCAATTTATGCGTACACCATTCAGACCTGCAAGGAACTAAGCAAGCAGCCTCAATATGCCTCCATGCATGTTTACAAGAGATGTACCTTTATTAAACAAGTGTAGAGAGATGATGGACAAGTAAGACCAACTCACCATCAAATTTCACTTGGAAAGGACATGAGCCGCAATTTCTTTGATCTCAATTTCAGAATCACCTTGACTCTGTAGACATAACAACAACACAATACTGACAATGGAAGGAAAAATTGTAGCAAAAATTTTCCTTATTAGAATCATGATCTATTAAGCATTCATACATACCTTTTTGGTTTTTCTGTTATTTTGAAAACTCTAAATGAAGATTTGTGTAAAAAAGAAAAGAGATAGAACCTTAAAAATGAAAAACCTAGGAGATCTTTCGAATTAATGCATACCTTTTGCATGAATTGTAATTGTATGGTCGAGTTTAGGTTGCCATCCCAAAAGCCTTCATCTTCATCTCTAGTCAATTTTACTTTTTGTAGTTTTGGTGTTCTTATTTCATCCATGGAGAAAGTCTGCATACTTGGACAATCCATCAAAATCACATCTTCCAAAAATGGGAACTCAAACTTGCATTTAACCAAGCAAAAGCTTGAAAGTCTAGGCAGACCACAAAGTTGCAAATACTTGAGTTTGCTAAAGACAATCTCATCCTTCACATCATCCTCCAAGCATGTGGCGGTTTCCAACAAAGGTAGCGGAGTGGCCTTTCGAGTTTGTGATTGGCTAACAGCGGGATCATTGGACTCAAGTATCTCTTCAAGTGAATCACAGTTCCATATTTGGAGCTTGTCTAGTCTTTGAAGCCTTTCCAACATACTAAATGGGAAAATATTCAATAACTTTTCACATGAAACCACGCTCACCAAAGTTAGTTGGCAAAAAGAATCTACTACAAGCTGGTCTTTCCAGATCTTATTCAAGCTCTTCACATGTTCAATTACCAAATGCTCTAATTTGGGGAATGCCACCTAAAGATTTACACAATTCAATTAAAATTAAACATAATCATAGATGTAATGAAATGAAAATATTAGAATCTAATTTTTTTAAAATGTAAAACTTTATGAGCACAAGAAAATAATAATAGCATTATAAGACATTAAAAAGTAAAAAATAAAGGGAAAAAAGGGGAGAAATCACCTTTGCATCAAATAGAGAAAGTGCACAAGTGTTTTTGACATTTTCAGAACTAGCTATCATGTCTCCAAAAAAAGGGCTAGAGATGAAAGTCTTTAGCACAGGGCACTTGCTTATCTTAAGTTTCCAAAGGCATGGTAATTCCAAGTGATTTCCAAAACAAAATCTTGTGAGTTTTGAAAGGTCTTGGAGCAGTAGGAACTCCAGGTTAGGGAAGAAAGTCTTGCACATCTTTTCCTCATCCATTGATTCTTCTACAAGTATTACCTCTTCCATCATATTGCAATCACAAATCTTGAGCCAATTTAGTTGCTCAAAACTCTTAACCATGGAGGATGTCAATAGATATTCCAAATTACCACAACCCTCAACACACAACTTTCTTAAATTTTGGACATAAGAAGAGATTTCTAAAATTGAATTGTCCAAAATCCGTTGAATGTTATTTGAAGACAAACTCAAAAACACCAAATGAGGAGTCTCTACCTGCAAAGATTCTTGGTTAGTCTATTAATATAAGATAGTAGGAGATGACTATCATATTTGCTTAATTTTAACTGAAGACAACTTCAAAAACTCCAAGTTGAGAAAAACTCAACCTAATAGAAACTTTGTGAAAAAGTTTTTTTTTTTTTTTATTGATTAAACTAAAACATTAGAAGGATAATCCAAAGCCAAGAACATGAAAATGACATGCAATTATGTGAAGTGAATTGATATTTTGAGTAGAAATCAACTCCTTTTAGACTTAAACATTATTTGGGTCAATACAGGGCAAAAAAGAATATATATTATTTGAATCAATAATCCTATTTTTAAACTTGAGTAATGACACATTTTAAGCGGTAATTTACTAGCCAAGAGTCTTTATTTTCTAACCATATATTAAGTGGAACTTATTCAAGGAGATTCATTCATGTAGTTAAAGAGGTAGCTAGAGATGGAAACACCAAAATATGAAAAGCAAATATAAATATGCTGTAAAATCTTAATTATAAAAAATAAAGATAAAAAATAAACCATGTTGTTGTAAAGAAAAAAAAAATGAGAGAAGGAAAAAGATGAAAAGAAACTAACCTTGCTAAAGAGGTATTGGGATTCCCCTTTGTTGTGTTCTTTGGAGGATGTAGATGCAACAAATGTGACCATTTTTGGGCAATCTTTTACAATAAAATTATATAATCCTGGAAGCTCAAGACTATGACTTCCCGCATAGAAACTTGTCAAATCTGAACAAGACTCTAGATTGATCAACCAAAGATGTGGGAATTCCATTTTATTTTTTGCTCCTTCTCCCATTATCACTTGTTCCATTGTTCCACAATTTTTTACTATTAACTGCAAGAGTTGCACGAGGCCCAAGGCCATTGAATGCGTTAATAGGTACCTGAACTTGCTACAATCACAAATTTCCAGTACTCGAAGTTGTCTAAAATCTAAGAGTTCTTGAGGATTCTTGATATGCCATGTTTCCAATAACTTGGGAAAAGTTGACAGCATCAAAAGTTGTAACCCAGCAAATCCAACCTATGCAAGTGCAAAAAAAGAAAAAAAAAAGAGTAGTTATATATAACAAAATATAAATAAATCAAATAATTTTTTATAAAAAGAATGAGTGGCTTCAAAAATATCTAGAAATCAATTCATACCTCTTCCATATACATTCTTTGTATGGTGGTATTAAGGTCACCTTCCCAACGCCAGTTGTCCTCTCCTTCAATTAATTCTACTCTCTGCAGTAGTGGTGTGTTTAGGTCACCCTCATTAAAGATCATCAATTTGGGGCACTGAATCACAATTAACTTTTTCAAAGATGGAAATTTGAAGGTGAAATTCCCTGAACAAAAGCTTTCTAATCTTGGCAAGCATTTAAGTTCCAAAAATCTTAATTTAGTAAAAGTGATCATGTTTAAATCTTGGGTTCCATTTCCTTCATTTCCAACTATTTCAGTCAGCATGTAGCATAATGACACAGTCAGTCTTTCTAACCGCACCAAACTTTGAGCTATTGAGATGGAAACCAAGTTTACCATTGCTTCACACCTGCTTATATTCAAAGTTACAAGATTTTGGAAAAAGCCAGGTGATGTTGACAAGCTAATCAAACTCTCACACCAAAACACTTGAAGAGTTCTAAGATTTTGAGGAACAATTGATGAGTCACAGCTCCATATACGTTTGAGATATGCAAGGCTAATTAGATTTAATGTTTTAATCCTTGAGAGTGTCTCAATTTCAATATGTTTCTCTTGTTCTTCAACTTTTCCTTTTGAAGGGAACAATTCTTCAAAATTACAAGCCTCCACGACAAGCTCTTCTAAATGGCGGAATCTTTGTAGTAATCTGATGGGTAAAACATCCGATTCATTATCAAGATAGCCACGAATTTTAAGAACTTTGACATTGAAAAAGAGGTTTTCTTTAAATTGGTGTTCACATATCATTGTAATGTCATGTCTTGATAGTGACAATTTTTCCAATTGAGGGATGACCTGGAAAGGAATCCAATGCAATAAAATTAGTGTGCAAGTTGTATATTTTTTCTTAATGAGATCTTAATTTTGTTTACGAAAAGGAGAAAACTATTAAAAAATATTGTACATTATTTCACATGGCAACCAAATGCATTTTTATTACTTATTGAATAAAAACAACTCTTCTTTATTGATAAAAAAAAAAAAAAAAGGAATAAAAACTGCTCTACATTGCTTTTTTGGGTGGCTAGCGTTAGTTGTATCTCAGATTCACATAACAAATACTCTAAAATCTAATAACAGAGGGATCCCTAAACAATAATGGTAAAATTAGAGAAATAATTGGAATTATCACATGCATTTGTCACACAAATAATATTTCATCAAGAAAAGCATTTAGGCCTTAGTAAACAAGTAATGAATACGGCAATTCAATATTATTTCCATGTATAGTAGATTAAAAAATTACTCTGATTCCATTATATATATATTCATATATATATTGGAAGCAAGGAATTCTTTTATTATTTATTTTGGTAAGAAGCTTTGTACCTTCTCTATGGAGAAAAGTGGCAGTCGTACAGGGAAATCAAGTTGCCAACTGCCATCTGTTCTCTTTACTTGATTGAAAAGGGAAAAGTGGAACTTTTTTAATTTTGGCCACGCTGCCGTGTGCTTCCCTGGATGGAAACATTGGAGTCTTGGTAGCCACCCAAGCTTAAGACTTGACAGTCGAGGAAATTCAAAGTTAACAATTGCTTCAATTCCTTGTTCTCCCATTGTAACAATTTCCTCCACCCCGCACTTCGCTAAATGTAGCTTTTGAAGTTGCGAAAGGCTTTTGCCTATTGAAGCTGGAAACAAAAATTTGAGTCTGTCACAACGTTCTATAACTACTAATTCCAAGCTGTGGAAAGTGAGTATTCCTTGGGGATCCTTATTCCACACATACTTCAATCTTGGTAGACCATCAATATTCAATTCTCTCAACTTGGTGTCTATTATAGCATGTGTTTGTTTGACATTAAACTCGGCAATTCCAAATACCACTTCTAACGACCCACAATCAGATATAATTAACTCCTCTAGGGATTTCCATATTCTTCCCAGCATATCAACAGATGGAAAAATAGTGGATAACTTCTCACAATCACTAACCATTAATGACTTTAGTTTGCCAAAGGAATCTGCATGGAATTGGTTGTGCCATATGATATCCAAGTTTTTCAAGTGGGTAAGAGTCAGACTTTCCAAGTTGGGAAAAGCAACCTACATAATGAATGCATCATGCCACATTTAGATTAGTTCCTTAAATTAATGCGAAAACAAAATGCAAGCGAAATGAGTAAAATTTACCTGTTCATTGAAGAGTGGTTGTTTGTCAGCAATGACATTTGTGCTTGCAAAATGTTTAACAATGAATCCTTCCAACTTTGGGCAGTTCAATACTTGCAATTGCCTTAAGGATGGGAATTCAACAATACAATTCCCTGAGTAGAATCCAACAATGTTTTGGAGGTCTTTTAGTAATAGGAAGTTCAATTGAGGAAAAATTAAATCCTCTTTTTCTTCTGCATTCTCTGTGACAATAATCTCTCTCATCCTCTTGCATTCCCTTATTTCAACTCGATTGAGCATCACTAGACCTCTAGCTACAGAAGATGAGAATAAGTACTCCAAATTATCACAGCCTTGAATGATCAATTTCTTTAGTTTCTCCACACATAAATATGTTATTGAAGTGTGCCATTTGATGTTAACATTCATCCAACGTAATTGCAGCTCCTCTAGGCATGGTAACACAACCTGCACGACGTAGAACAAATTTTGTAGTACAAGCTTATCATTTTGTTGATGGATGAGAAAAAGGATGGTCAATTGTGCTAAAAATGGTAGAGTTGGAGGAGTTGATCAATGTATTCCTAAACAGTAGTTGGAACTATTATTGGTAGGGTCTTAGCTCCATATATTTCCATCGAGTATAATCCAATTATATGATCAGTCAATTTTGGGATGGTAGGCACATTTAAGAGGGAAGTTTGGTCTTTACTGTACTTTTATAACTTGGATTGTGTGGATATGTAAGAATGAAAGGTTATTTAAAGGGGAGGACTGGTTTGTCGATATGGCTCTCAAATTAATTGGAAGGAGATCATTTATGTGGACCAAAGGCAAGGTGGATGGTTGTTTATCCAGATCGGTGTCTAAATCTTGCTCTTCGTGCTTTGGGACTGACCAGCAGAGGAGGTTAGAAGATGAACAAAAGCAGAACTTTCATTAGAAGGCCAATGCAACAAAATAAACTAGAGTTAATTGCACTATTCTACAGATTTTGACTGTGCATTGGGTTTGGAATGTATTTATTTGTGAAAGAAATAATGACAGTCCCAAAGCCAAAACATGAGAAATGACATGCATATAAATTTGGGATAATTTAACATCAACCAGTTTTCTTAAATTAGTAATTTGATTTTAATTTTTGAGAGAGGAAGTTGAAGAATTTCAAGCTACAATCATTTAAAGTAATCAACATTTATAAAGGTAATTATGTGGGATAATATAGCAGTATCAACATCAAAAGTACAAAGACTATAAAAAGAAGTAAAATAAATAATTTTTAGGAAATAACTAACCTCTTCACTGAAGAACGGTTGAATAGAGGTTTCAGGCCTTTGTTCACTTCCTTTGCCATTGGCAGTCATCTCTGTCCCTTGCTCTCTTGAAAATGAAGAAGCAAATGTCAACAAATTTGGGCAGTAAGCTACAGTAATTTGTTTTAGACTTGAAAACTTCAACCTAGTGCTTCCCTCATAGAAACATGTCAAGATGGAACAAGACTCCAAAAGAATAGAGTTTAGCAGAGGAAACATCTCCTCAGCTCCTTCTCCAGTTATCACTTGCTCCATCATGGCACAGTTTGTGACTTTCAGAGCATCCAATTGTACAAGGCCCAAAGCCATGGAAGGGTTTAGAAGGTATGTCAAATTGCTACAATTACAAACTTCTAGAAATTTAAGCCTTTTGAAAGGCAAGTTTTCTTGAGGCTTCATGTACCAAATTTCAATCAATTCAGGAAATTCGGAGAGTTTCAAATCCTCCAACCCATAACATCCAGCCTACAAGATGCAATACATTAATTGCTAGTTAAACGACAAGAAACAAACGATAGCAATTATATTAATAATAAAAGTAAGAATAAAAAATAACTTTTTGCATTTGATAGAAATTAGATTGGACAAAGATGAAGGCCAAACAAAGATTTGGACAAAGACAAAGTTCCTTAAAATTTTCATATTTCAGTTTGACTATTAATAATTTACAGCATCCTTTTTCCTCAAAATTATGTTACGATCCCACCACAAATAACCTAATCTAAAAATCTAATTGGGAATTTAAGTTTTTGAATAGTTTCATTTTATTTTCTTTCTGATCCAAAGAAATCAATCTCTTCCTCCTACAAAACCTTGGTTGTTTGCTTTGAATAGGTTTCTAGTTAATTGTTCTTTATCTATATCAAGTCCAAACATGAGTACCATAGATCCTTAAAATTATGTTACGATTCCAAGACAAATAATCTATTCCTTCGAATGGCTATACATACAAGTGTTATGTCAAGTCAACAGAAATTTCAAATGTGAGTATAAGGATCGGACATGGATATATGCTAGGGTAAAGCAAAGAACCCGTGTAACAAATTTAACTAACAAAGTGTTACAATTTACTTTCTCTTTCAGTTTATTCTTTTGCGCAAAACTTGATTTGGTAGCAACCCTTATTATTGGTGCTACTTTGTATGCTTATTATTGGCAAAATTTACATTTTACCAACAAAGGGCTAGGAGTAGTACATAAAACTTGGAAATTAAGGTAAAAAACATAAGTAAATATTTTGAATTAATGCATACCTTTTCTGTGAACATCCTTTTTATGGTGGAGTTCAGGTTGCCTTCCCAGAACCCTTCATCTTCATCCAGAGTCAATTTCACTTTTTGCAGTTTATTAGTGGTGCTACATTCCCCTCGAGAGAAGATCTGCATATTTGGGCAACCCATCACAATTACTTCTTCCAAAGATGCAAGTTCAAAGCCACAATTCCTTGAGCAAAAGCTTGCTAGTCTTGGTAGACCACGAAGTAGCAAATACTTGAGTTGGCTGAAAGCAATGCCATCCATAACTTCTTCACCCACACACGCCACAATTTCTTTTAGCATTTGACATTTACTTATACTCATTTTTGTGAGCTGCACCATGCTTTTGGCTGTTGAGTATTCAATTAAATTTATGAGTTCATGACATGCAGATACTTCCAAAGTTGTCAAATTCTTGAAAGATACAAAGGATGGCACCAAATTCTTTAAGTTGCTACACTGTAACACTTCCAGGGTTTTCAGGTTATAGAAAACTGATTCCAAAAGTTCAGATAATCTTAATTCACTTGACTCAGTAAGTGCAAGTGCAGGTTTTGCCTTATCACCAAGTCCTTGACACTGGAATAGTTCAAGAAAGGAAGCTTCACTAACAACAAGCCTTTCAAGATTTGGTGACTGAAAGAGGAAAGGGTGGACAACTGATTGCTCAGGTAATTGGATGAGTTTAAGAACTTTTAGTTTGGGAAAATAATCCCCTGGATATTGTCCATGCCATATCTCCTTCATAATATCATTCTTATTCAATTCCAGTTCTTCTAGACAAGGGAATGTAGCCTAAAATATGGAAATGTATTATGTTAAAAATGAATAAAAGAAGCTGGATGCAAAATGGTCATAGAATAACACACATCTACTGTATTTAACTTATTACTAGCTGATACATATGAGCAAGAATTGTTTAATATTCAGATTTTGTTAGCATCTCTAATTTTTAGTTTAAAATTAGAAAAACGTAAATATATGCAGATTTTGAATTTTATAAATTCATGAATTAGAAATCAAACATCTATTACCACAAGACAAAAGAAAAGGAAAAAAAATTCAAAATTCTTATATCTTTAGATAGATTAATAATTACTTCAAGTTCATAAATAATATTAAAAAAATGCAAAAAAAGTGTTTTCCAGAGCAGATTGTACATTTAAAATGCAGTCCAACATATGAATTTACTAAAATATCTTAAATGAAACTTTTATTTTATTAAAGGTATTTTAATAAATTTACAAAGAAAACTGCACTTTTAATATACAATCTATCATATATTACATAAATCCCTAAAAAAATTTACCTCTATAAATTTTTTTTAAAAAATAGTTTGGTTTTCTTAATCAGCTGATGTAGAACATAAACATATATTGAAAACGTTTTATATATAGAATAGAGTATTATAGATTATGCTTATGAATATATTCAGACAGGAGAAAAGCTTTACTTTAATGCAAGTGCAGCGTACACATGAGCAAACTTTTTTTGAATTATTGTGTAGATCTCTTACCTTGCTTGTCCAGAAAAAAGGAACTTCAAGTTGGTCATCTCCATTTGTTCTTGGGAAGCTTGAGAGTTCTGAAGCAAATATCTGTAGTTTTTCACATCCAAGGACCGTCAGTCTTTTCAATGATGGCCATTCAGTAGCATGCACTTGATGGCATAAGGCCCTTAGTTTGCGCAGAAAATAAAGATCTAGCTGTGTCAATTTTGGAAACACGAGCTTTGCACAAGATTCCATCAAAGTTGGTGGCATGAATTTTTGAGTTTGTGATTGGCCAGCATCAAGCCCTTGAGACTCAAATATCTCTTCAAGTGAATTACAGCTTCGTATCTCTAACTTATCTAGTCTCTGAAGCCTTTCCAGCATACTAAATGGGAAAATATTTAGTAGCTTGTTACATGAATTCACACTAAGATAATTTAGTTGGCAAAAAGAACTTGTATCAAGTAGGTAGTCCCATATCTTGTCCAAGCCTTCCATAAATTCAATCGTTAGTTGCTCAAGTTCGGGGAATGTCACCTAAAAAGTTACGAAATTGTATTAAAAAAACTAAACAGGATTAGAGAAATAATGGGATGAAAAATTTTTGGAATCTAATTTTCAAAAGAATGTAAAACTTTATGAGGTGATCCATGAAGTAGAATTACAAGACATTAATAAGTGAAAAAAAAAGAAAAACCAGAAAGAAGAAATTACCTTTGCATCAAATAGAGGAAGTATACCAGTGTCAAAACTAGAGCTTGATGAGATGAACGTCTTTAATACAGGGCAGCTCATGATCAAAAGTTGCGAAAGGCAAGGGAATTTGATGTAATTGCCGTGGCAGAATCTTTCTAGTTTTGGAAGGCCTTGTATCTCTAGAATCCTCAGTTGAGGGAAAATCAAATTCCCATTTTCTTCTACATTCTCTGTAAGAAGAACCTTTCCCATCTTCTTGCATCCCCCTATTTCAAGGTGTTCAAGCATTACCAGATCTCTAGCCACAGAAGATGTGAATAGATATTCCAAATTATCACAGCCCTCAATGATCAACTTCCTCAGTTTCGCAACATGAGAAGGTGTTATTGAAGCGTGCCATATGGTGTTAACATTAATCCAACACAATTGTAACTCCTCTAGGTTCGGAAATGCAACCTGCAAAACATACAATTCTTCTTCTGATTAAGCTTCATGATTTTGGTCATAGATAAAAATAGGATGATATCATGTTAGGAGCCATAGAGTTTAGGTACAACTAAAATAAGAGCGATGCAAATTAAAGAGGGGTATTATAAATTAAAGAGGAGTATTATATTTATCTAGTTTTTTTACTATATACAAAATTGAACAATCATTATTTAATACACTGCTTTAAAGAATTATAAATAATGAGAAATTAATATGCATAATTTACATGAATAAACTTTTAATCCAATAGCTAGTTTTTAAAGATAATAATTAGAAAGTAGATATTTAGACAAATCCTCTAAAAAAACTTTTAAGAAAATAACTTATCCTACATTATTCTCTTTTTAATATATACAAAATTAAAAGGTCATTTTTTATTACACTACTTCAAAAGAAATATAAATAATGACAAATTAATTTTATCCCTTTGTCTAAAAATGTGAAATGGTTCCCTAAACACCTTGGATTTGGGATTTAGTCCTTGATGGACTTCTTAAACTTGGGGTATAGTTCTTCAAGTTGGTTAGGTGTTCCTGGAGGGAAGATTAAATTGGTCTCCCCTAAGCCAAAAGGAGTTTGAAAGTAACAAATACAACTCCTAATCAAAATAAGAAAAAGCGCTTAGAGAAGCCATTGGCATCATGAATTGAAACCTCTATAAAGAGAATAGGTTCCTCTTCTTACTCATTGATTTCCATATTATATTTCCTCGCTTGATTTAGAACCTATTTGGTATAATAGTTAAATTTTAACATGTAGTGGACAATGAGTAATAAAAAAAAAGGGTAACATGTAATGGGTGGTGAATATTGGAAAGTAAAAAGTGAATAGTGGATAATGTATGGTAGATTATAATTAATATAATTGTTTAGTTATATAATAATTAATAGTTGTCATTTGATATTAAATTACTAATAAAGATATATTTAAAAGTAATTAAGTATATTTATTCTTTTTATTTTTTTTCATTATTAAACTTATTAATTTTATAAAAATAATAATAAGAAAAAAATAAATGAAATAAAATAAAATAAAAAATAGTAAATTACCGTCATTTTTGTTTTTAACAAAAAAAATTATATTATTTTTAAATAAAAAAACTCAAAATTTTAATTATTTCATCTAATTAACAAATTTTATTTATTAAGCTAATATAATTTTTTATAACAAGTTAATGTAAAATAAAAGTATAATAATTTTAAAGTTATTGAGAAAAATGAAGTTAAAACTAATTAGAAAAGGAGGAGTGCTAGGGACACTCGCTTTCTTCACTCTCCGGCCAACACTTTCATTTTTATTGGACCACGTTATTCTAGTTCTGAAGAGGTTGCACTTCAAAGCTAAAAACAAGCCTACGTGGCCCAATGAAAGGGGAAGTGTTGGCCGGAGAGTGCAAGAGACGAGTGCCCCTAGCACTCCTCTTAGAAAAGTATTAATTAAAAAACATGGTAAAAAGGTAAATAATTAAAAAGGAAAAATTTGTTAATAAACTTAAAAATTTCCAATTTGGTAGTAGTATGATGAAAAATTACTTAAGATAACTTTGTCAATCTACTAAATGAATTTGCATATAGTTTGCTGTGCCCCATGATCTCTAAGTTTTTAAAATGAGTAAGGGTCATCCCTTTTAAGTTGGAAAAAGTCACCTACATAATAAATGAATGCATCATACCATTGACAGTGAAAGCAGGATAAGGACAATTATAGTCCCTAAAATTAAAAGTGAAATGAAAATGAAATGTAGTTTTTACTAAGGAATTAGTAATATGTTATTTGGAATGATTTATTCTTATATGACAATTTTGGTTTGACTTAAAGTAATTTTTGTCAATAGAAATATTTCTTGAACTATAGCACCTTTAATCTTTAGCTTTGTCGGCAATGAGTGGGTAATCTATCATTTACCTTCTTTATACGAAAATTTAAAGCTACTTAAATTTAGAATAAAAAAACTTCATTAAGAAACTAATTACCTTACTGTTGAAAAACACTTGAG